ATAGCATCTCATGTTAATACCATGTGAGAAGCACATGATAAACTAAATCAGAATGAAATGATGTTATTGTAAATAGAAATGCTTTGGGGTTGGTTTTATAAATAATAAAGACTTGGGTGATAAACCAATAATTGCCCATTTCATTTTTCACTTTTGAAAAATTAGCCTAGTGACCTGCGGAATTGGCTATGTTTGTATTTATATATATTTTCTGGCTAGGTCAATTGAAGAAAATGATTGATGAATTTGTAGTTATATCATAAACTGTTATGGCAGTTTTTATGTTTTATACATGTTATATTTCACTTGTTTTCTCTACGGTTGAAATTTTTCTTAAGGATTGAGAATATAGTAGATGGTACTGTAAGCTATATAAATTTAGTTGATTTAGTTTTTAAAATTGTAACACAATGGATATCATTTGTGAAAAGTGCTAAAATGATCTGTTGACTATTTTGTAGGGGACCATTTAGTCGCAAACTTTACTAAGTGCTACCAAGGCTCATAACATCCATAGAAAAATTATTAGTATGAGCCAAATCCAGCACATTAGCTTTTCTAGATGAAAGGAGAGTTTTCAAAACAACTATATGTTGTTTACTAGCTAAAGAATGAATCTGCTCTTATTTTTCTATATTTACACATATCCATTGTAAGCTTCAGGTTAGCAATAATCCATTTTTAGCGGAGTTTCAGGTTAGCAATAATCATTTTGACTCATCTATTTATATCATCTATTTTTTTTTATATCATTTTGACTCATGTGACCAAGCTTCAGGTTAGCAATAATCTATTTTTAGGAAATTTTATTATTTATTGCATTGTGTCAATATGTACACATGTATATATTTGGTATGGTAATGTTGCGAAGTAAATATATGGTAATGTTTGCATGTATAAGTACTATTAATTTTGTAATTTTGATTTCAGTTAGTGTGCAAATGCAAATATGTCCGAATTAAATCTTTCACAATCGGAATCATCCAACAATCATTTGCAAACCCTAAACCAGAAGCTCATAATATCAACGAAAATGTCAATCTTAATTTACAAAGTACAGAGTCAGAAGTGGTATTGATTTAGTCAATTCACAAAGTTTTGATTGCATGTTTGTATTTACTGATTTTGTTGTTTCATCTGGTTTATTCAACCATCAAAATCAAATTTACAAGTCTATCTCGAGAATGGTCTTTTTTTGGCAATAATGAATATTTTGATGAGTGGTGGAAGTTGAACAGTATCAAGTATCTTTGTTTATCGAAAATGGATAGGGATATATTATCGATTCCAATAACAATAGTTACTTCAGAATCTGCATTTAATACTGGTAGAAAAGTTCAAAATGATTACAGAAGTTCACTCTCGACAAAGACAGTGAATGCATTAATATGTTCGTCTAGTTGGATTAGATCTTCCACGAGTCGTTTGAAAACACTTATGATAATTTCTCTTAAGAATTTGCTTCTATAGTATATGTACATTTTCATCTTAAAACTGATATTTATATATTTTTCCTACCAGCAAAATGTAATGGAAGAGGAACAACTTGAAGTGACTTTACCAGAGTAAATTGAGGGGAGGGAGGAAATGATGCTACACTCAATGAGTATCCAATATTTTTGTCGGAGTGTTGTTTTTTTTTTTTCTTTTCATGTTCTCTAAAAATATGCAGTTGGCAGCTGCTAGGAGCTCTTTGAAAGTGATGAACAGTAAGCTTAAGGAATGAACTTATTGTGCTAACTTGTGATATTTTCACAATATGAAGGCTTTCATATGGCTAATTAAGCTTTCATCTTGCCAATTGTGATATTTTCACACTGCGGAAGTGTATAAATACTGTTTGGATTATATTTGAATGTATCCAATTGTAAAATTTTATGGCTTATTCATCCTAAACTCTGATTATATTTGAATGTATCCAATTGTTACATATTGTTGGCTAATTTTTAGTACATAAATGATATTCCTTTACGAGTTTTGATGTGGTCTGAAATCATTTGTCGGCTGCCCCATATTATGCCTGTGTTTTTGGGCATTAAGTTTTTCAAACTCTTTTACATTATCTGCATTCCAACCTACTAGACTTCAGATTTCGGTTTTCATTTCTGCTTTTCTTCTTTATGAATCTCTTCTCTCATGGTTCTATGGATACTATGGGTTTTGATTTGTTATTCACGGTATGGTGTTTCAATGTTTTGAAATTTTGATCCTGCAGAAATTTAGGCATCTTCACACTCGTTGGAATGGCAGTCTAAGTTTGAAGGTTTAGTTGAATAAGAGTGATTGGTTTTTGCTGGTGTTGGTGGTTTGGTGCACTCTATTGAGGGGTTTAAAGTGGTTATTTCTGGTGCCCCATTTGCTTTATATTGCGGTTTAGGCTTGTTCTTCCCTATTTGGTTCACTTTAAAGATTAACTAATATATATATATGTTTTTTTTTTTCAAAAATGAAAATATTTGATCTGATAACACCACTAGTTGTTTTGTGATGAGACAACAATTTCTTCTTCTTTTTTTTAAATTTGTTTGATATGTTTTTGAGTTTTGCATAAAAAAAATATTTATTTGTGAAGAGTCTGTCGTTGCTGGAGAAGATCTGAATGCTGATGATTAAGGTATATTTGTGAAGAGTTTTGCATAAAGTTGTTTTGGTTATCCCTCTACAACATGCTACGATAATAAGCACCATTAAAAGGGAGAACAATTGAATAGCTTTCTCAGCTCTGAATAGCTTTCCTGAGCAGCTGATATGTTTCGTGGAAAATTATTGTAGGATCCAAAAAAGAAGAAGTTTGTAGAGGCACTGCTTGCTTTCACTGACTCCTTCAATGGTGCTTCATATCGAAACTTGGCTTCAAAGGGTGATCTCAATCAAGAAGTTGGTGAGTTGCCAACTCTGATTTTTGTTCTGATTTATAATAACTTTTTTCATTTGTTGAAGCCCTGATACATCTCTTGGTTCATGAACACTGCAGTTACTACTTTCAACAAGATAGAAGAATATCTTTCAAAGTTTGATGATGGACTTTTTTTCCTCAGACAGTTTCGTTTGGTAAGAGTTGAAAATTTAAGTGAATTTCAGACAGTTACTCTGAATAGTTTTCTTTGATTTAGTGTCTTTTATCTCGTTGTTGAATAATGTGATATATTTCAGGTGGATATCAAGCATTGTCAAGCCAAATGGAGTCCGCTATAATTATCTCACAATCTCAAGCAGATGATGAAGAAGGGTTTTTGAAGTCCACACCAAAGCTATGGGTTTATGAATGAACTTCTTAATCTAGCCACCATGCATTCAAGACAAACAATCTAGACAAATCTTCATCCTATATGCCATGAAGACCTTTATACTCAATTATGCAATGAAGAACTCAATCTAGCCCAAGAAGCCTCCAAAGAATTACATTAATCTCAGAAAAGAACCCTAGCTCGCGGCCATAAGAGGATGTTTTTAAAAAAAATTTTGAGTTGATGAAAGTCATAAGTGTATGCATATTAAAAAATAAATGTAATTATTTTTCTATAAAATTTTGTATAATTATTTTTTATATTTTAATTTTTATTTGAGATTTTATTTGTATTTTTTATATTTTTGTTTAATTTGTAAATTGTAAAATTTGTAATGAAGTTGTTTGTATTTTGTAAAATTTTGTAAAAAAAGTATTAATATTCTTTGTGTAAAATTTTGTATGAAATTTTTTCTAGAAATTTTTTTAGTTAATCTTGTCTCATGAAATTTATTCTTAAAATTTGTTTGGAATTAAGTTATTAAAACAAACAGTTTTTTTAGAAAATTCATTATTTTATTTTTATTTTAAAAAATAAATTATTATAATAACTTTATATTCTAACGAGTCAATTTCGAGCCGAACACGAACATGAATAAAATTTTCGAGACAAACACAAACAAATTGTTCACGAGTTATTTCGAACACGAACTGACTTCGAACACGAGCCGATTTCGAACGAACCAAACACTTACAGCCCTACTAATTACTCACTTTAATCTTTAGAATACTTTTGCAAATGTGCAATCCTTCACTTATATTCAAATTGACCTATTAATTACAATTTATTATTATTACTACTATTATGTTTAACAGTTATTACATCACCAATGCCACCTTACTACAACTAAAATAGTAATTGGGCAGGCTAGTTTGCAGCTTTAAGCAAAAACACACTCAATTCACTCCTCCATGAGCTTTTAGCTCCATTCTATTAGCCTCATGTATTGAGATGTTTATAGTGATCTTCTGTGATTTTCTGTTTTTCTTTTAACAGAAATAACCTATTTGAGATTCAATGTGAAAAAAGTGTGCACCAATGTACAAAATGCAAGCGCAAATTATTAACTTTGCATGTTTCCATCTTTAGCATAGTTCGTGCTTTAAAATAAAAAAAAGAGTCAATTCATAGGAACAAGGACATGTATTATAAAAAGTCTAATTGTTCTTCTCCACAACTATGCTAAGTGGCTGCCAAAGGCAAGTAAAAACAAACTTAGATGCTCTGCATGTCAAGACAATAGATGTCAATAGATAAATAGTATATTTAAGAATTTCAATATAGTCAATCTTGTGTTACTTAGATGATCGCTAGAATGGTAAAGCCGCACGGCCAAATCATTGAAAAAAACCCTTGAACCTGATAAATAAAAAGCTTAGTGCCATCATTAGAATAAACCACCCTATTAGCTGAACTCAATAAGCTCAGATTCTACAAAAACTTTCCAATCACTTACCCTACAACAAAACAGAACAACGAATCACTGCAGAACTGCAGATAAGTGTGTTGCTGAATAACCGGCTTTACCCTATAAAAAGCATCCATGGAGCAGACAAAGTAGAGCAGCAGATATAAATATTGTTTAAAAACCTTTAAACTTTTCATGATGTCAAGATACTCATCCTGTTGATGATGAAGATGAGTGATTCCAAGTAAACAAACACACTGAAACATCGGTTGGATAAAAGAAGAACGATTATTTTGTGGTTCTACCTGAAATCACCATGCTTGATCTAAAGAGTCGACTCTGATCCCGACAGCCGATCCGCTTCCGCTTGGTTTCAAGGTTTATGTTGGTTTTAATTGCACCAAACTTGACAAGCAAAGAAAAATGGAGGTTACAGGGGGTAGAGAGGAGAGGAGTCGAGTGAAAAGCCCGCGGTTGGACGATTTCAGCCACGCCCGCAGGGGAAGACCGACTGGTCTAAACACTGTACATGGTGGGGTGGCTTTTTATATATAAAGAAACTAATATTTTTTCAAATAAATAAAATAATTAAACAAAAGTTTTTTTTTTTTTTTTTTTTTTTTTTTTTTTTTTTTTTTTTTTTTTTTTTTTTTTTTGCAGGCATGAGTGTTTGGAACATATATTTTATGTATTCAAATACATAAATAATTCCTACAAATATAATATTTTTTTTACAAACTAAAAAATAAACAAGTTATTATGTTAAGGATGTCGGTGTCTATAAATTAAGAATTCCGGGAGGAAATTTTATTACATTATGAAAAATATTACACTCATTTTAGGTTGTGGAGTCTTTTAACATCCTAGATGCATTAAAGAATCACGTATATAAAAAGATGACTGAGTCAGTAGAGTTGGAGAAGCACGAGGGGAAGCTTCTTCCTATAGGTTGTGGAGTCTTTTAACATCTTAGATGCATTAAAGAATCATGTATATAAAAAGATAACTGAGTCGGTAGAGTTGGAGAAGCACGAGGGGAAGCTTCTTCCTCTGATGCCTTAACTCACATTACTCATCGGAATCAACCCAACAAGCAATGCTCGTTAAGACATTGCGACCGACACAGGGTCACTTCTCTAACGAGCAGTACAAGTCGTAAAAGCGAATGAGAAAGCATGCAAACATACAAAAAGCCTATATCGTGATTGTTCAACTGAAGTACGAAACAATCACAACGGGAGCCCAAGAGGGCGAAACACACATCATGCAAATGAATGCAAGGATATTGCTTGCAACATGACACACACAAACAGAAAGTACCGGTAAAACAAGCTACCTATGCGAGGAATTACGCCTGCCCGGGGACCTGAGGTGTCATGCGATAAGCAAACACCAGCTAAAAATGAATTTGTATCGCATAAAAGGATACTTATAAAAGAATTCACACATTACGCGATAGACACTTACCAAGCACACATACAAACACCTAAACTTCTTTTTTTTTACGAAGATTTTCATACATAATAATCAATTCTCATGTATACATACACCTAACACCCGCGGACAAATGGTCGCTTGTTGATCGGCAACTTCAGCGTAAATTCTCTCGGCCTAGGGTTTGATTCCATCTGGCTCGAATTAGCACATATGGGTTGAGCAGACACATGTTGCCGTACAACTTTTAAATATACACATAACACATAAATTTCAATTTTTTTATACATACCACTGAACTCTTTTGTATATTCATATCTAACACTAGAACTTCACTTTTTATATACATACCACATTACCTATGTATGCATTTCATACATATCACTCAATTCTTATTTATATACACACCAACACATAAACTTCAATTTTTGCATACATACCACAACTCGTATGTATATACATACCTAACACCAAAACTTTGATTTTTCATTCATACCACATTACCCATGCATTTCATACATATCACTCAATTCTTATTTATATACACACCAACACATAAACTTCAATTTTTGCATACATACCACAACTCGTATGTATATACATACCTAACACCAAAACTTTGATTTTTCATTCATACCACATTACCCATGCATTTCATACATATCACTCAATTCTTATGTATATACATGCCTAACACATAAACTTTAATTTTTGCATGTATACCACAAATAAATGAAAATACTAATCTGAATACACTTACCTTCTTCAATGCTTTCTGATCGGAGCGGAGCGGATGGATGAGAAATACGAGAGTTTCAATGGCCTTTGTAAGCTCAATCCGATTCTTACCTTCCAAGCTAGCTCTAATGACAACTATATCATGAAGTTTTGTTCGGGAAAGCGATGGTTTTGAGCGAAACCGAAAGAGAGAGGGAAATGGGAGGGGGAAAGGGGAGGGAGGAAGCTTGCCAGGGCTTTACTCAAAAGGGGAGACTGGGAGAGACGTGGAGAGAATAAATGAAACTTAGACGTTGCTGGATGGGTATACTAGGTCATTTGCGTCGGATTTCCGTCTAATTTCCATCAAACTCAGTTCAACGTTGACAAGTAAAGTTTTTGTGTCGCATTGTTGGACATAAATCCGACACTAAATCTGCCGCAACTCCAATTGAAGTTTCATCATTTTCAGAGCACTTTTTTCCTATTAATTTTTTTGGATGCAAATCAGACACAAAATCCACTGCAACTATCAAAATTTATTATTCGCTCCATAATAGCAAAAAATCCGATGCTGATATTTGCATATGAAAAAAACCGACATTAATATCAGAAGCTAATAAAAACATCTCATGTAGTAATTGTAAAGTTGAGACAATGATGAAATTATTAATTTGTTTTTTTCCTTATTCATTAAATAGATTTTTCAATACTTGTCCCCTCATTTAATGATGATATCCCTGTGGATAAAAGACAAATGCATATTTTGACGGAGTCGCCACACCAGTTCTGTCCTAAATATCAAAGGGATATAAAACACATTACAGGAAAGAGATGACATTTTTTAAAAAAAAAGTGGCATTACATATTGCAAACTTATATAATTTTAAAAGTAGACGGATAACACAATAATAGTGAAAATATCCATTTTTATACTTTAAAAATAGAGGGTCTGCAATGCGGGTCCGTGACACATATAACACACGTTAGAATCCTTGGATCCTTAGCACAGTCATACTCGTGTCAAGTCTGATGCCTTAACTCACATTACTCATCGGAATCAACCCAACAAGCAATGCTCGTTAAGACATTGCGACCGACACAGGGTCACTTCTCTAACGAGCAGTACAAGTCGTAAAAGCGAATGAGAAAGCATGCAAACATACAAAAAGCCTATATCGTGATTGTTCAACTGAAGTACGAAACAATCACAATGGGAGCCCAAGAGGGCGAAACACACATCATGCAAATGAATGCAAGGATATTGCTTGCAACATGACACACACAAACAGAAAGTACCGGTAAAACAAGCTACCTATGCGAGGAATTACGCCTGCCCGGGGACCTGAGGTGTCATGCGATAAGCAAACACCAGCTAAAAATGAATTTGTATCGCATAAAAGGATACTTATAAAAGAATTCATACATTACGCGATAGACACTTACCAAGCACACATGCAAACACCTAAACTTCTTTTTTTTTACGAAGATTTTCATACATAATAATCAATTCTCATGTATACATACACCTAACACCCGCGGACAAATGGTCGCTTGTTGATCGGCAACTTCAGCGTAAATTCTCTCGGCCTAGGGTTTGATTCCATCTGGCTCGAATTAGCACATATGGGTTGAGCAGACACATGTTGTCGTACAACTTTTAAATATACACATAACACATAAATTTCAATTTTTTTATACATACCACTGAACTCTTTTGTATATTCATATCTAACACTAGAACTTCAATTTTTATATACATACCACATTACCTATGTATGCATTTCATACATATCACTCAATTCTTATGTATATACACACCAACACCTAAACTTCAATTCTTGCATACATACCACTTAACTCGTATGTATATACATACCTAACACCAAAACTTTGATTTTTCATTCATACCACATTACCCATGCATTTCATACATATCACTCAATTCTTATGTATATACATGCCTAACACATAAACTTTAATTTTTGCATGTATACCACAAATAAATGAAAATACTAACCTGAATACACTTACCTTCTTCAATGCTTTCTGATCGGAGCGGAGCGGATGGATGAGAAATACGAGAGTTTCAATGGCCTTTGTAAGCTCAATCCGATTCTTACCTTCCAAGCTAGCTCTAATGACAACTATATCATGAAGTTTTGTTCGGGAAAGCGATGGTTTTGAGTGAAACCGAAAGAGAGAGGGAAATGGGAGAGGGAAAGGGGAGGGAGGAAGCTTGCCAGGGCTTTACTCAAAAGGGGAGACTGGGAGAGACGTGGAGATAATAAATGAAACTTAGACGTTGCTGGATGGGTATACTAGGTCATTTGCGTCGGATTTCCGTCTAATTTCCATCAAACTCAGTTCAACGTTGACAAGTAAAGTTTTTGTGTCGCATTGTTGGACATAAATCCGACACTAAATCTGCCGCAACTCCAATTGAAGTTTCATCATTTTCAGAGCACTTTTTTCCTATTAATTTTTTTGGATGCAAATCAGACACAAAATCCACTGCAACTATCAAAATTTATTATTCGCTCCATAATAGCAAAAAATCCGATGCTGATATTTGCATATGAAAAAAACCGACATTAATATCAGAAGCTAATAAAAACATCTCATGTAGTAATTGTAAAGTTGAGACAATGATGAAATTATTAATTTGTTTTTTTCCTTATTCATTAAATAGATTTTTCAATACTTGTCCCCTCATTTAATGATGATATCCCTGTGGATAAAAGACAAATGCCTAAATATTAGGAATCCTTTAGTGATCCCTTGTATTATTGGAAAAAAAAAAA